TTTTTTTGCTTTGCTACCTAGGCTGGAATGCAGTAGTATAATCATAGCTCATTGCAGCTTTGAACTCCTGGGCTCAGGTGATTCTCTTATCTCAGCCTCTAGAGTAGTGAGGACTACAGGTGTGTGGCACCATGCCCAGCTACTTTATTTGTAGAGACAAGATCTTGCTGTGTTGCTAGGCTGGCCTCAACTCCTGGCCTCAAGCAATTCCCCTGGCTCAGCCTTCTAAAAGGCTGGGATTATAGGTATGAGCTGTCACACCTTTCTAATGGAAGTTTGGACCAGTGTTCAGCAGCATTTTATAATTAGATTCTGCACTGTTAGTGTTCTTTGGCTTCATCCATGGAGGCTGCAGGATTTCTGGATAGTGATGCTCCATTTCATGTGAGTTAAGTTGCTGATGTAAGTGGTCAAGGCTAAAGAGTAAGGGGTGACATTTGGAAGCAGGGCTAACTGGTCACTCTTTCCAGCCTCATTTCTTTTTTTTTTGAGACAGAGTCTCACTATGTTGCCCTAGGTAGAGTGCTGTGGTGTCACAGCTCACAGCAACCTCAAACTCCTGGGCTTAAGCGATTTTCCTTCCTCAGACTCCCAAGCAGCTGGGACCACAGGCTCCTGTCACAGTGCCTGGCTCTTTTTTGGTTGTAGTTGTCATTGTTGTTTGGCAGGCCTGGGCTGGACTCAGACCTGCCAGCTCTGGTGTATGTGGCTGGCACTGAGGCCCCTGAGCTATAGGCACTGAGCCTCCAGCCTCATTTCTTCAGTTTGGAGGACTCTTCTCCCAGCTTCCTGCTTAGGGACACTGAGAGTGTGTGGGTGTAACTGCAAAGTGGCTCCTGAGGCTATACTTTCTGCCTCAGGTCTCTGGCTACCAATAGATTAGGCTTTCTGGGTCATCAACACATCACAAGTCAAGATGGCATGTTGGTCTGCTGTAGCTCCTGGGTGTTTTTTGCAGTGCCTAGCTGGAATCAATCTGTTCTAGAATATATTCCTGTTTTTCTTGACTCTGAGTGGTGGGTTTCCTAAACCTGGAGAGGGTTCTTTTGTACATTGATGATGGGATCAATGGCATGTATTAAATTTTAGTTTTTAAAGATTATGGTAGAATATGCATATAAAATGTATCATTTTAAGTATATAGCTCAGTTGCATTATAAATTTCATTTTTTGCCTTTTCGTATTATTTTCCTTTCTCCCTCCTTCCTGTTTCCCGTTCTAACAAATATTTATTAGAGGGAGTATCTACTAAGTCTGCAGACCCTGTGCTGGCCACGGGGTGCCCACAAGGCAATGGGGCAGACAAGGCTTTTGCCCTCTAGAGATAAGTCTTTTAATAACTGGGTTACGGTTGATCCGAAGATGGCACTTTGCTCCTGTTCTCTCTGTTAGGGTTTCTTGTGCCAGGAGAACTGCCTTCTTACACAGCCACTTCCCCTCAGGGCACCCTGGCATGGTGTCAGAGAGAAGTTATCCAGAGAGACCCTCTAATGGGATGAGGGGCTGGAGGATGTGGCCACATGCTTCAGTTTGCTGCCTGGGACTTTGCTTGCTGCCCTGAGATGGCATACTTTGGGATTCACATTACCTTTGGGAGGTTTGCAGAGGTCTCCAGGTCCTGTAGTAATATGCTTAGGAAAGTTAAAAACAAATTTCGCTTTTTATTTTAAAATAATTTTGTATGTACAAAAATGTGTAAAAATAGTATGCAGAATTCTATTATACATGCATCCTTCACCTGCCTTCCCCAGCGTTACTATCTTACCTAACTATAATTATCAGAACTAGCAGATTAACATTGATATACAGGTAACC